AAAATCCTGCACTTTTCCATTGCGTAACATGGTTCAAATGATTAAAAATGAAATATTAATTAGGACACTTTACGTATTATAATGAGAAAAGGACGCCTGTTTATTAATTAAACAGATTACTAATATTCCTTCTTTATAACTGCCACTTTTGAGAAAAGTATTAAAAGATGTAAATCTGTGCATTGCCTAAAAGCTTTTTCATCTTCAGGTCTGAGGATAAGCTTAGAAGCAAGATGGTAAACATTATTAATAAATTGTTGATTGATTATCATGCTTTAATATTCTCCCATTTCTTGTTCATTCACTAGTTCTCTAAAGTTTAATCCGACCATAATGCAGTTCCTATCCTTTCATTAAAGCAAAAAATGTGCAATTTACCTAAATAATTGAGCAATAGACTAAGTTTGAATAATGATTCTTAATCCTCGCTTTGGAAGGACCTCGCCAGCGAAGGAATGTTGTGTTATAATATAAAAGTCCTTTCGACTAATAAGATGATATATTGCTTGAAGATACTTCATTAAAATTTGGATTTCGTATTGGACAGCATAACTATTGAAAAATGTGCCTGTTGCTTAATGAAATAGCCACTTATGTAAAAAATCAACTCCTGTAAATTAATCAAAAATGAGCTTAATTGAATTACAAGCGTCAGCATATTGAAGAGTTTTGGGCACCAAGTGAAGTTATTTTATGTGGGTAAACAACGTTTGATGGTAGGTGAATAGAAAATAATGAAGTTAATCTCGGAAAACGAGGTAATTACAATTATAGATAGCGAGGATGTAAATCTATGCACGACTATCACGTAAGCAGACGTAAATGTATTCACGACTGATTTATTTTTCTAGACTCCATCATCATTTATCTAAGACATTATAATCATGTGCCATAATTTTATTCATGGTAGACTTATTTGTAAGTTTCTCATAATGTTTTAATGCAACAGTGCAATGAACGCAATTACTTGAAACATGTGTGCTTGAGGCATTTTTCATTGCCTCAATAACGTGACTGCGGTTGCTTAAAAGACACATCATATATATGACCACGGAATTCAGTAACATATCACTTAGTGAATCCAGCATCCAAGGTCACATATTAATATCAATACAACATCCAAGGTCACATATTAATATCAATACAACATCCAATGTCACATATTATTTTGGATCCAAAGCCAATAGAAGAGTCCAGATATCGAAATAATTAAAATTGCGAACATTCATATTTAAATACTATAAACAATAATTTACTCTATTATAATCCAAATAAATTTGAATAAAACGCACGCATTGTTTCCGTGTGAACGTTTCGGTCTAATGGCATTATAGATAATGCAGAATACTTTTAGAATTATGTTTGACGATGAATGGCCCTACCAGCGAGTTATTATATTCACTGATACTCTATGAGACGTAATCATGGAGCCTAGAACTATGACATGACACTTTGAGTGATCAAGCTAAAAGCCCGCTTATACCTCAAGAATTGTAATATTCTTGTTTGTAAAACTACAGCGAATTTCTTGCACAACCTACCCCCAAAAAGTGACTTTCATTGATGGATATGTAGAATACCTCTGAGAAAAAGGACTGCATCGCAAGCGAGCTCGTGTGTGTCGCTATTAGTTTGTAGAGCGCAATGCGAGCATCTGTTCGAAGAAGTTGTGAAGGAATTGGCTTTCTGTGAGACAAGTGATGAAGCAGTCGTTAGCCACATTCGGCGTTAATATCATATTATTTGTCTAATGGCACCATATGTATTTGCTAAAGAAAGCAAAGTGATGTTGCAAAATGCTGTTAATATTATAATTGATGATGTTTGACAATAAATGGCACCGTGAGTGAAGGACAATATTCACTGGTACTCTTTTTTAAAAACTCCTGTGCTCTCCCCAATCAGGATACTTCAGATAGGCACGTCAAAATCATATTAGTGCTTGAAGCGCTGAGGTTTCTATACTTTTTTCGTGAGCGAAGCTCAAGCATGAATGTTTCATTCTAAAGTTTTACTATTTGACTTTATAATTGATATGTAAAAGACATTCAATTCAGCAAAAGGGAATTCTGTTTTAAATTGCAACTTTAATTATTTGGCATCTCAAGAAATTCACTCTCACTGGGCCGTCTGGGACTCTTCCCAACTGCGTATCCCATGATCTAGAGTTGATTATTTAGTAATATCCATGGATCAGCTTATCTAAATGTATGTAACAGGAAGCTCCAAACCCATTTTCATACATGAAAATGTTATAAAAAGATGAAAAATTATAACATGTCCAAATTGAATAAAATTATTAATTTGGAAACATTTATATTAATCAAAATAAAGTATCTTCTCGAGAACGTCAAAAGTAACTTAGATGTTAAAGTCTAACAACAAATTTTTATTACTATCTTCTTGATATTGCTGAAAGAAATCAATACCTTATCTGTCATAAAAAAGGAAACCTTCCAAAAATACATGTTCCAAAAAATAAGTTGGAAATCTACCAGTTTTTACCATCAGAAATATGCAGCTGAAAAACCAGAAGTGACATTTATAAGTCAGATGTCTTTTTCAAAAGGCTTTTTCATTTTTATTTCATGACACTGGACACTTCAAGAAGGAAAATGACATAACATCAGATAGATTTGATGTGTTTATCGAAAAAAGGCAAAATACAGCTATTTTTATTGATTAGAAATACAATCTTCGTCTTCCTATTGTGATAAAAAAGTATTTTTTGGAAGTAATTTGAATAAATACGTGTGCTGAACTTCGTGCTCAGGTACTTCCCAAATTGTTTAAATTGAGATGAAAAATAATGTAGAATGTTTAAGTTTTCCATTAAACCTCTGAATAAAAAATGAAACAAACGTTTACTAAAGTTTTCTTCAAAGATTAATATTTCATATCTGACAGATGGATATTAGTTATTTTCAGTTTTTTGTCATGATTATACTACTTATACTACTTTTATAATGATTATTAAAAGCCAATTTTTCTTTTTTACCTCTAAAAAATAATATTTTAAACTTTTTTCTTTTTAACGTTTCTTTCATCACCATAATATATAGTAAGAAACAATTTGAGATAATTGTTTTTAGGCTCTTTTGAGATAGAAGCTACTTTGGGGATATAAGCTTCTGAAGCTTCTTCTCTATGATGTGTTATTTCATTTCACATGAAACGTACACATAAATGAATACAGAATGAAATCCCATTACAATTTGAATAGAAGTGACGAATCCCAAAACGCATTTGTTAGATGATCATAATCTTTTGGTATTAAGTAAATGACAAAAATGATTGTGTAGTTGTTAATAAAGCTATCGGTGAGAGATACGATGAATTTTATTCATTGCTATAAAACAAAATGCTCCAATTTAGGCAACTTTTTTACGTTTCAAAACTTAGATAAAAAGAGTTCTAGTAACAGAAATTGTTGACTTCAATATGCATCAGATAATGAAATCAATCAAGCATGAATCATTTTTCTTTGAGAGTTAAAATGTGACACTCCGGTAAGGATTGAAACTAAAAATATGAGTTGAGGGTTTTGAGTAGAAAAGCAGTTAGAAATAAATCATTCGGCATTATTTGCAAAGATTAGATTAGGAGATACTGAACTCTGAACTTTTTTTACATCTTGATTCTTATATTAATCTCAGCGAATAAACGATAAAAATCCTGTAGATTTTACAGACGATGAATGTCCTTTATTTAGCAATTTTCCAAACCTGTGATTTAAAAATTAGTGACCTGTGATTAACGAAGGGTTGGAATTCAACGTCTGCACATTCTCCCTTATCAAAATGAGGCAAATGGCTGGAAGTATGTTTTCCTTTTCTAAACAGAAAGAGAAAACAGCATTTTGTCAATGTATCGTGAATGTAAATAAAATATGAATTTCATATAACAATTGCAGGAGTTCCTTTAAATGGTGAAAGATGATGAAAATTTCACAAATTACTGAAATCAATCAAACTGTAGAAGCAAAGAAGATAAAACCATCATTCCTTTTCTGATATTATCCGTCATCAACTTCTCGTTGTCAAGGGCTAAAGCATGGCAGTAGATTAGCCCCGCATAGGATATGTGACGAATAACCGAAGCTTATGCATTGAGCAGTCATCATGAGACAATCCGCGTGATATCTTTCTGCTAAAAGACAATGTCAGATTTCATATTTAGACTGACAATCACAAGGTCCACCAACTGAAATGTAAAAATGGGCTTCATCGCCCTCATCTTCTAGCGCTTATGTCAATGGACTTTCCCTTTTAAATAACTTGGTGTAGTATGTGTTCGGGAGCTTTTCTAACATCTCTAATGCATTTTCTCTAATGCAGTTAAAGATTTCATGACTTCCCAACTATATTAACATATTAAAATAACGGCATCGTTAGGGAGTGATGTATAGTGACTGCTTTGACTAATATATTTCTGTTTACTATTAAGCACCCATGAATTTGGCAATTTCATTTGCAACAGCCCAATAGTAGCAATTAGAAATTTGCGAGCTTAATTTAAATTTTCAACTAATAACTCAATAATTTTGATCTCAAAGTTCTGTTTAATGATCAAGGGTTTAGTAACTATATTACCATCAAGTTAGGAAAATTTTTTTTAAAAACTGATGTTTAGCATTTTTAAAAATATAAAAATCATTTCTCCAGATTCCGTCATTTGTTTTTACCTCTATATTCCTTTTACGCAATTTTTCGCGAAGTGCAGTTTTGTCTCAAATTTCTGAAACAGGGTAAACAAAATCGAATGTTCGCAAATGAACATGTTTATTTCGATTCTGAAGCAACAATTTGATATAGTACAGGATTAGTGAAGAGTGGTAAATTTTTTAATTAGTTAATAAAAATAGAAACCCCTAGTCAGTTTTGTGTACAATATATAAATGACTTTTAAATATAAATCAATATCATATAAATTAAGGCAACGCAATGGTATATACAACATCAACTCTTTGCTTTTCTACCCAGAAGATAAATGATGCTTGCCTGTGTGCCGTTCTGCTGGTCTGAGTGTGCTTGCAACAAGTGCCACGGAATTGCTTCTACCTTTGGCATTGGCAGCATAAAGTACCAAAATAAATGATGTCCCAGTCAGCAAGTTGTCCACCAGGAAAGTTGGGCTATCTTCAGCTGTCAAATTACCTCTGAGATGCTCATTCGTAGAACTGTATACTTCAAGATGAAATGTTTGGGGAAGACCACCATCATATCCGGGTTCACACTGAATGAGGAGGGAGTCGGTAGTATGATTCGTGACCACGCAATTACGCATTGTTTCTGGGGGACCTGCAACAAATGGTTTCTTGTTGGTCCTTCAGTTGAAACACTAAATATTTAGCATTATCTAAACATTGGTTGCCTTATTATCCACCCACTTTTATGTACATCAGTTAGTTTCAGAAACAAAATCATTTATTAAAATTTTACATCCCCAACTAATACTTTTGCAAACTAGTTTCTTAATGCACGGAGTTTTTAAATACTAATATCTATCAATTCTTCGACAAACTGACAGCATACTCTTCTGCTATTTATCAAGAGGTTGTAGAGTCATTAGGGTTTTTATCTTATGTAAGGAAATGGAAGCCCTCGCCGGGACTCGAACCTCAGACCTCTCGAATACGCGCCGAGCGTGCTGACCATTACACCACGAAGTATGCTAAGAAGAAGGTGGGAGAAATACCTTATACACTCTTCCTTTTAAAGGGCAAATGGGGATTAGAGGATCCAATCGCCAAATCTTGGGGGTGAATAATCAACATCCACCACTTTTTTTTAGTTCGAGGCCCACTGTAGAGACATCAGGTATTTTTTTGAAAGCAGCAGATGTGAAAAATGAACAATGCCTTCAGCGGGATTCGAACCCTGGTTCTCTCCAATACGCGCTGAGCGTGCTGATCATTACACCATGAAGGCATGCTATGAAGGTGGGAGAAATACCTAATAAGATCTTGAAACTAATATATACGAATAAGCTATTAATTTCTATTAAACTGGCAGCAAAGTGGCGAGCAAAAATATTATAAATCTCCATCAACACTAAAAAATTTAATATAATTTTGAATTTCAGGAACTAGCAGGTTAAATATCGATATTTCTCTGATTTGCGGTAGTCGACACGTAGATATTTAACTCCGATTATCGGCTGACTTTATAATTTCTAAAAATATTCAAGATCTGACACATTAGGGCACTACATAACGGAATTAACATTAGAGCTTCAGATGTGATGTTTAAAGACTGTGCTTGCTAATATATAAAAATAATTTACTAAATTAATATTTATGATTTAACCTCTTCACTCAGCACACTAGATGTCTTTTCAAATACTGTTTGAAAGTCTATCTTCAATGTAAATTCTGTATAACAGTATTAACATAAGTACTACAGATTTGTAAAGTGTACTAGTATTAGAATATAATAGTCTATCATAATATTTTACTAATATTATAATTATATCATACCACTATACGTATATACTTGTACTGGTGCACTAATATTTTGGCATTGCACAGTTATGTTTATATCATACCACTATACGTATATACTTGTACTGGTGCACTAGTATTTTGGCATTGCACAGTTACGTTTTTAAGTGCTTATGTTATGAATTGCATTATATAATGTACAGTATTATTTTCTTTGTATATGTGTAATAGTTTATAGCCATGCATCTATAATCAAATGAGGCTGCCCAGACGGTATAGTGGTTAGGGAAGTCTGACAGCGATACCGAAGGGCCTGGGTTCGAATCCCGGAGAAGGCATGGATGTAAAAATTGTCAGTCCCTTCATAGGAGGCAACGATGGCCGCCTATTGTATGCCTCCACAATAAAATGGCCACCATTTCTGGCCTTAGTAGTGGCCAATGCCGTTATAGGCAAGTGCCCACCATTGGAAAAAAAATATTCAAATTAGTACAAGACTATGTTTGCAAAAGGTCTGTATTTCGAGAATACATAAAAAGACAGCTCTGCCTTAGGCTATTTGACAGGAAATCGGAAACCAGGTGATGAATGGAGTTCTAACGGCAGAATATCATCTACAGTCTGTGGTAGATGATAAAATGGCTGAAAATGGTAGTACTATATTAGAACTTATATCAAAGAGCTATTGAACTGCTGCAGCTCTGTGGGGCAAATAGTAAGTTTTTTATTTGTCCTTAACCACCAGACGAAAGGAGAGATATACAAGAATGAACTTCATACGGAAATTTCAGCAACTGCATGAATAAAAATCATAATATATTTGTCTATATATCCTGTGATCAAAAATTACCTTCCCTGAAACTTCAATCGACGTACCTCTGTTCGCTAGATGTTACATACAGCCCCTACATCTCTATAAAGCATCACGTTTTAATCAACCAAAAATGAAGTTATGTATTGTTAATAAATTCATCTCGATTCAGAATCGATAGTTCATCGTTTGGAACGAAGGTAAATTATATTAAAGAGCAGGAACAGATTTATCAGGTAGGCAGAAGAGTCGAAGTTCCTTCAAATTGATGCAACATACTATATCCAGTTAGATTTAACCTAATGACCGAAAATTTAAAAAAAAGTGAGTAAGGCATTACGGTGGCCATCTGTTATTCTGAAGTTTAATTTAAATGAACTGCATGAAAAGCATTCTTACATTAACAACAAAGATCAGCCAAATCTCTGGTCTCTTCAAGAGCTCAGGGCAGCTTTAAAGCAAAGTGGTTTTCTCTCCTATATTACTTCGGCGGTTTTTAATATGTATAACGTAATCACCTAAATTATTTTTAGTGTTTTAGAATAAACTTTCAATGTGTCAATTTAATCAAACGAATACTTTGTTTATGTAAAGTAATTTGCTAGTTACTTAAAACCAGTTATTTTCCTTAAACGTATAGTATACAATTTTCTGTCAGATAATAGTTATATATTTCTTTAAATATTTAGTTCGTCTGATAGATTAGACATTTATATCATAGTCATATTTTACTGCAGATATTTACTTCATCTGAATACACAGAGTTTATTCTTCATCTGAATTGTGTTTTTTTGCTCAAATAAAGGCCGACTGCCTACGCAGGCATATAAATCCATCATGTTCTTATCTTATTTAATTTCAGATAGCACTTGAAAGCCTCCTGTGTTATGTTCCCTTTGAGAGAAGTAGCTCACATCCATAACAATGGCAAAGGAAAGGAAAACATATGCGATACATGTCAATTTTTATTTTTAAGCATCATTGCAGCCTGTTAGTGTATGGAGAGGATGTGAGAGAGGTAAAGTATTTTGTAGGTTTACGATTTTATTTATTAGATGGCTTTTTTAATTTTTAAATGCGTCGTATATTTTGCAGTTGTTTTTTAAATACTACTTTGCAGTTTTAATACTTTTTAATATTGCTTTGTGTTCAAAGTATTTCCAAACAAAGCAATGGGATTAGGACGCATTATAGAGATACAAAAGGATAGCATTTAACATAAACTATTACCTGATCTATATTTAACACTTATATATTTTAATAACAGTAAAGGATTGATAATACATTCATACTGACACAAAAATTGCAATAGGATTATGCACCTTCTCCGCAAAAATACTTTACTCGGCGTTTATTTTCAAAACCATTGGTCGTATACTCAATGCCTCTGGCTATAAAAGTGTACCATTTTGGCTCGGCATTTTCATTATAGAAATCTGATGTGGATGCCACATGACTTAATTGTATGGCATACTAAATTGTACATATTTTTGCTGCATTTCATTTAAACCTATTTCCTCGAATTTCATTTGAGATATATTTCTCATTCAGTTAATTGAGCTCTCGCTTCGCTGCGTAGCAAAAATAAATAAAAACTTCATTAAAAATTGTAAAATACAAAAAAAAAAAAAAAAAAAAAAAAAAAAAACACTGCGTACAGTTAAAAGAGTATAAAAAAATTACAACTAAAATTAGAGTTTCTACGCAAAAACAAGTAATTCCTCCAGCGGGCACACTTTTCGGTGCACAAAATTGAAAGCTTACTTTTCGCCCCACTCGGCAAAAAGACATTGAAGGTGTAGAAATTGACTTAATTCACTACTCTACTGGCTTTCAAATGTAAACAGATGGCGGTTCGTTAGGTGTAACTCGCCACTTTTAAATTCTTGATAATTCTACAAATACTGTATGCAGATTAATAAAAGGTATAAAATCCATAACTGGAACATACAAACCACAGAAATGAATTATTTTTAAAGCAAAAAAGATATAGTTTACCAACATATAAGAATAAATAAACTAAGCTCACCAAGCCAGATAACTTATATGTATATATGTAAATCTCTCCTAAACCTATTTTACAATCCTTTTTCGCAAAATCAATTCTTTATTCTGTCCATACGTAAAAATGTCACGCAAAAACGTAGCTCAAATGGTTTCGAGAGCGGTTGAACGGATATTGTCGTTGAAATATAATACCCCAAATTTTTCGCCATTTCAATACTTCCTTTAATTCGTACAAAGGAGTAAAAAATCAAATTTGTTAAAATTTTCATATCTAGGTTTTATTCGTTCCTCTGGCCCATGTACGTATATTTTAGGAACATTTTTATACCAATCAAATAATATAAAATACCAAGCGTTTCAGACCCATGCGGGAAAAACTGGCAGAGATATTTCATTCTGAAAATGGAAATCATATTGAGAGGCCAAACGCACACTGAAAAACGAAATAGCTGCATTTGTAAGTAACTAAAAATAAAATAAAAGTTTCGAGAACGTATTCTAATGTTAATAGATTGAATGACGATCATTCGTTTGGAAATTGTTGCCAAAAATATTGATTAGATTACAATTCTTTTCAAAAATGAGATTTTATTCATAGAATCTAGAGAATTCGAGCCAAATTATTTGCAGGAATTAAAAATTAAAAATTTTTCTAGTTTAACGAAATTTTTCTATGTTTATTAGAACAAATGGGCTTTTGATCTCAAAACGGGGTTTTGCGCTGAATAACCGTGTATCACCTTTTTTTTTTTTTTTTTTCCTTTGAGAACATACAGACTCCCCGTGCACCACATATGTACAACACGGGGCTTACAGAAGTAAGTTAACTAGAACATTAAAGGTTACATGTATAAATAAACATTAAAAATTACATGCATAAATAAAGCGAACAAAAGCAGAGAACAGCAGTCTGGACTTCACGAAAACAGATAAGTTCACTGGCCAAGTCACCCCGAACATTTTCAAATCGTTCTGTAAGCATAATCTAGGGCCATCAAATGTAGGGCACGAGAAAATCAAATGTTCCACATCCTGAGGAA